AAAAAAAAAAAAAAAAAAAAAACAAAAAAAAAAAACAAAGTCTATGTCATCCACAAAGCAAATCAGAAATGATTAAATAGGAAAGTGATTCCATCATGTCATCATTTTTAATAAAGATCAATATTTTCACAGGGGTACTTATAATATTCAATAGTGCAGTCTAAGAGAATGGGTAATAAATTACTCGAATTGGATTGTGCTGTTATAAGCATGTTGTCCATCAAAGACATCTTCCTTTCTCTAATAAATCTCAATCTTTATGGCCATCTTCTTTGTGTGAAGAATAGTGTCAGCCACTAGAAAGTGAATATGCCTGTCTCTTATCTTGATTATAATCCTGTTGAAGTCCCAAAGTTTGTAAAGCACAAACAAAGATTCATAAGAATGGATTAAAAGGAAAATAAATTAGAATAGTTTTCAAAGGGCAAAATATTTATTCCAGCCATAACTTTTGCTATGATGCAATAGCAGTCAGTAAGGCAAATACCATGATAAGTGAAGGGAGACTTTTACTATCATTGTGTTCTATAAGATTTTTTCCATTTCTAATATATATGAAGTGAATATAAAAGAGAGAGACTGTGTCAACACGACATACTCTTACTTGAGTCATTGGCGATCTCATTCTCTGGGCAAGCGATGCAATCAAAACAGCAAGGAGTCTTTCCCTCCTGAGGGCTTTTTCTAAATCCAGGATTGCAATTCTCACTGCATACTGAACGGGGAGTCTAATAAAAACAATATACAGTAGTAGCTTATTAGACTTGTACTTCAACAGAACTACAGGAATACATTTAATTGTATTTATATAGAAGCAAAACTGTTTTCATGTTAAATTTATTTCAAAGTCTGACACAGAAATTAAAAACAAACATGAATAAGTGAATTTATTTCCCACTCAGGATGTTTATAAATTTTTATTTTTCTTAAAAACCTGAGAAATTTAGGTCCATTACCCTGGAAAGCACATTTGGAAGAGGAGAGTGAGTCTACGCCCTTCTATTCCTCCCTCAGCCCTCAGCATGGCTGATGTGAGGCCTCTGACTCTATGCTCCTCTCATCCACTACCACTCTGATGTGGTGAGGTTGGCAAGAGGAGTGGCCCAGAGTCCTACAGAACATCAGCAATACAATATTCCCAAGAAGAAGGCATCACAATGCACAGTCCGAACTAGATGTATAGAAGTATCCCATTCAGAACTGAATTCAGGATCAGGCACCAGCCCTAGCAGAGGAATCCAGGTGACTGGCACCTCCCCCTGCACCACTGGACCAAGAATCCAGGGAAGACCCAGCCGCACAGCAGAACTCTGTCTAGTGTGCATACAATGGACAGGTGAATCTGTCAAGCTGGAAAAGTCAGAAAAAGGAGTCAAGAAGTAGTAATTGATGTGTACTCGCACTTTGCTTGAGGACCAAGACACAGAAATGAATCACATGCTTGCAAAAAGCCTCTTTTTGAAAATTTCCTTTTATCTTCCTCTATTTTTGTTAGCATCTTTT